AAAAGAAAAAAAATAATGACAATAGTAACAACCTAAAAAATGACTATAATAATAACAGCAATAAAAATAATAACAATAATAATCATAATAATATATAGTAGTAACCTAAAACGAAGTCGAAAGACACACAAAGCAAGAGATATAATCAAGTATAAAGAATGTTTTGTTCTTCAAATGACACAAGATGTACCTAAAGTGTGCATATCAAACTGAAAATTGAAAATCAACAACTCGAAAAACGAAAAGTCCAAAGAATTGGACAAATCTGTTCAAAATTAAACTCTTACAAATGAAACAAATTCATGAAAGCTCATTGATCTGCTGCGAACTTGAACTGTTAACAGAATGAAACAATAACGAAACGATTAATATACTGCATACGAATGACATAGCACAAACATCAACAAAACATGTACAGCACCATTCAAAAAAGGACATTCTAAATGGGCAGTTTGGAAAGGAATACATAACTATAAAATGAAGAAAGTCTAAGAATTTCAGCACACTCATCTATCGACTCAGCTAATGGGTTGAGGATATTCGATTGCCGCGTTTGAAATAACTTCCGCATATATCAGCCAAAAACATCGGACGAACAACTGTCTTCACGAGACACTGCTCGAAAAATCATGACACGACTGGTTCCAGTCGCGTGCTTATTCCAGGAAAACGCGCGAAACATGTTACTTTCAAAGGAAACAATACTGAACAAGAAAATGAACTGTTCTAAATATATCGTTTGAAAAACACATCATCCGTTTCCCTGTGAATTTCCCAGCTTGATGACTAAAATGCTGTTGCAAAAAANAAAAAAGCCAATTACAAAACTCTCCATAGATCCAGGTAAACATGAAAAGAAAACACATAATATTGGAAACAGTTCGAAATTTAATTCAAAATAGCTTCAGTCTGCTGAGTTTCAGTTTGAGTTTAATAGTTTCAGTAATAGACTATTCAAAAAATGCTGAAGACACTGACTGCCTATCTTACCATCAAGTAATTGAAGATATCATTCTTCTATATACTAATAAATACCTAAAATCAGTTCAAAACAGTATTCACGTCATTCGTACTGCTATACGCTGTTGTTGAAGTAACGATCGGAAAGTTGGACATGTGATCACCTCGTTTACAAATTCTATCGAGGATCTGTATGCCGTTGTGACGACCATCCGAGCGCGATTCTTGACTTAGCTGCCATTGCATTAATAATAAATTCGCATAAACTGCTTCATTATAATATTTCATATAACCAATATTCTCACATGTTGGAAATATTAGATCAAAGTTGTTCGCACGCGATAATTCATCTTCAAAATCCACCAGAACACGAGCATCTGAGCCAGTCAATTCATCCAAAATTGTTTCATCGATTCTCTGAAAACGAAAAAAAATGCAAATGAACTGAGTGCAGAAAGGTGACATGAAATGTTGACATGACGAGGAAAAAAAATCATTCATTATAGAAAATATCCCTGAAACATATCGTAATGCTCAATATAACTGAGCAAAGTTATTCGAAAATGTCATATGTCATCGAACATTAAAGAAAATTTAAAGTTGACCGAAAACTGTCAATGACACCGCTTTAAAAAATATACACTAGATCCTCCAACAGTGCTAACATTGACCGCTCTAATCGAACACAAAAATCAATCAAACATTATTTTCAAATTATTTGGCAATTTATCTCGTTGACACAGAGTGAATGATGAAGCACTCCTCCGAAAATGATCAAAATGTTGTATGTACGTAAAGATAAATGAATATACGATTATATGAACTGGTAAATGATAAAATGAAAGACCCAAAAAGAAACTTACTCCATTTTTGCGATAATACTCAACATGATAACGTTCTTTCTCTAACTCAGCATGTGTTTTATGTCCTTCGAAAGGTTTCACTCCATAATTTATCGTCAGTGAAGTTCTTTTATCGCTAAAAAATAAGCAACTCATTCCAGCTAGGTGATTTCTTCACGTTCTGACAACAAATAATTTAAACAAATATGGAAGATAACATTAAAAACTGACTCCTGCTGCGGAGGTAACTGAATACCGCATAAATTCAACACATCCCTAGCTAGCGGAGCTTTAACACTCTGATCAACTGCTGTACCAGAATGCAGCGATGGTGATATATTCACCTGCAATATCAATTCACTTCTCGTTATTCGCGTCGAGAGTAACAGTGCACTCTAACAGTGACTAAACGTGTTTCATTCAACGAGACCCTCTCAGAAAATACACCAACTGAATGCTAATGATGAACTAATTACACATTTTAAAGCGAAAAAATTTTTTTCAACACCTTCGATGGTTACATATCTGGATGAATCAGTACACATGAGGCATAAAACTTCAAATAAACTCTGGTCAAGTTGGATGAAAAATCCAAGATGGGAATACCACAATTTGTAAAATAACCTCCAGTAACCAGGGTTTGAGATTATCATCGATCAAAATATCCATACCATAAAGTTCATGACTTGTAAACGTAAACAAACTATGCTTCTTTTGATGTGCTCGTATCCACTTTTCACATCTTAAAACGAAAAGAAACTGTGAGTAACTGCTCTCCGTTGAACTTGTCATAACAATTGCATGAACTTCTTGCAATATTCATTTAACCAAATGCATAAAGTAGTAATGATAAAATTGTTTGGAATTCATGCATGATGATAATGTAACTAGTCAGCAATAGTGATTATATCGTCATCAGCTTATATTGTTACTACAGTCACGATTAGTAATGATCTGAGGAATACTCATACGTTAAATCACAAGAAATTGAAACGTTTCCATAGGATATTGTTCGTTCGTTTATTCGAATCGTTTGCTTTCATAATGAGCTTTCTCAAGATTGCATTTTGCAATGCACAACTGCTAAACGCACTGAAAATAAGAACTGCAAACTAAAAATTTTCCCAAACGAAAAACAACGAACGCAAGAACAGTTTTGATGATGATGTCAACGATACGTCGTTTCATGAGAGGAACATCAATATAATCAGCGACATAATCCCATAACTGGGTTAATTTCCACTTCGGCACGGGTGTTTCTCGCTGCCCAACGGATTGAGCCAGTTTGTTGATACTGTAGTTCGTCAGATGCATGAATTTATTTGTTAGCGAACTTGGTGATGTTGAGTATCTGCAGTTGAATTCCATTACCAGATGGTATTAGCGAATCGAAATCTCAGAGGAGATTGTATTATTCTTAAGAGAATGATCTACTCAACTAGCACTTTTTGCAGAGAACTTATCACGACAATAAGCACTTCTAGAATCATAATAATAGGCTAGTTGTTCACAAATGGATAAAACAACTGTCCTCGTTATAATATTTATTGTATTATCTTGATATAAAACTTAGAACAGAACAACTGAAAATGCATTGGCATCTATATGTAACGCAAATTAATTACCAAACGTTAGGAATCAACGCTTAAGTAAACGAGAACACGTTTCAAAAGAAAGCTTGAAGGAATGACTCACGGCACACTAGCGAATCGCACAAGACCTTCATTATAGAGGTAGATACGTAACGGTTCTAAGCTCGTTATATATACATACAAGCGAAGATCGAACTTAGTACCATTTATTATTAACGGACGATCAATATAGCTGAAAATAGTATTGACAAATAAAGACAAGACAAATAAACATTCGAATTTTTGACCACTGTATCATTTGAAGAATCATTTTATTCTATGAATACTCTAATAGGTTCTTGTCGGATATTGAACGCGCATTATCAGACCATCACTGGTAGTCACACCCTTCAGTATAACTTTTGAAATTGATGTCAGAAAATTCTGATTTCATACCAAATCTCAGAATAATACCGAGCAAGATTCCTCAAGACAAAATTGAAGGTGGACAGAATGAAAAGAACTCAGGTGAATGTGTAACTGTTAGGAGTTGGACGGAATAGAACGACTTACTGTTGTGCGATCAAATTATTTTTAACGGGTATACTTTTCGTCCGATTTGTAATTGTTATACCAGTGCCACGCGCAGAAGCTGGCTGAAATATGAGATAATCTAAAATGGTATTAAAAGGTAATATAAGATTCCCGATGGAATTTGAACAGACTCTATTGTTTTACGTGAAGAAATTTGTGAGGAAATAATATCACCTCTGATTCCATCATTTCGTTTTTTTTCTTATTACAGTGTATCACAACACATCTAATAACTTACAGATAGGGTTCATAAAATTCCAACTAACTTAAGCTATGCTCATAACAAAACGGCTTCGGATGAGCAACAGACATTCAAATACAAATGTTAAAACTGAACGTAATTTCAGACAAAATGTATATACAGAGTATATTTGAATAATGTGAATGTTTTCATACAAATTCCAGCCCAATAACTCTGACCAAGTATGGAGTCTACTTACTTAAGGCAATTCGAAAACGCAAGAACTGCCCTCCACATAATTCAAATTAATAAACAAACTCTTCAGATAAGGTCACTCTCTTAACAACAAAAAATAACGAAATCAACGAACTGGCTTGACAATGACGCGGTGTGATGAAGAATTATTTAAATAATTACTGAGCTTTTTGAAGTCGCGAGGTAATATATATGTAGTTGGCATTATGTAATATTCATTAGCACCCCACATCACCATCATTTCATTTATATGCTGCCATAAGCGATCTTTACGCCCCATATGAAATGCACCAGGAAAATGATTGACCTGGGTAAATGGATCATTCTCATTGATACGAGTAATTTTTCAATTCTTCAAATGACCATTAAAACATTTGCACCATCAAAATTACCAACATCATAATAGGAATGGTTCATTAGCTCTGATAATGTATTCAGTCGACTTCTCATTTCTTTCTCCCCACTTCATTCACTTCAGTAATTAAATGTCATTCTATGAAGACATTGTTTTACATCAATAAGTTAATGCCTGCTTTAATGTTGCAAAAATCCGTTCCCACAAATACTACTTAAGATGCAGTGATAACCAAATGCATGATGGAATAATGGAGAAGCAAAATAGTTTCAGGTTATCACTGATAAAATAATTCGACAGTTTATATTCAAGATAATAAACCTTTTGAAATGGTTGTATCGTTCTGTATTGATTCGATTTCAGATGACGACCCCAATAACCAATCCAAAACGATGACTGATCTACAATTGTAAAATGGCTTCGCGATAAGCACTGTCGCATCACGATCGGTAATAAACTATTGTGGCACCATGTTAAGCGTGAACAAATCACTTTATTTGGCTTTGTCACTGCAATAAAAAGTTACCCTTATTATCAGTATTATAAACGTTATTCGATTATGAAATCTTCACAGCGATAACTGATCTGGACATTAATATGAAATTGCAGTAATAAATATCATTACCTTTAGAACCTTTCATATAAAACTGCACTGTAGGAGGCACATTAGAAAAAAGACTTGAACGAAGGAACGGATGGGAGGATGATGATTTTGAACCAACGCAACTAAAATGATGTGCTGATCAGTAATAATATCAAAAGAGCATAAACACACCTCCAACGTAATTTCAAAATCCGGTTAATTTCAGGATTATAAGCCATAAACTGGAAATTACGAATGGATCTGATGAATGCTTACAAACATCTAAACTGCTGATAACATCATTCAATTGAATAGATTATTTGAAATTTCAAGAATGAAAATTAATAATCATCGATCAGTTATAACAATTATTAGTAATAAGTAAGAGCGAAACAGTCAATAAACCTTGATGAAGTGCATAAACAACTTGTTACAAGGCAACTGAGAGTGCACATTCCACCGTCTTTGGTTTCTATAATTTACAGTTTTAATGAGAGCATAACGAGAAGACTAAAGAGATACATTTTGGACGTGGATAACGAAAAAAATTGCTACATAAGAACTGCAATTAATTCGAATCAGTGAGACTTCTGGTAATCTTGCTGTTTAGGTCGAGGAGAAATGGGGTGTGGCCTAATGCTCATACGCTTCACACATAAGTCGAAGCCCATGCGTTAGCCTTATCACCGGGCTAAGCATAAGTCTAGACACCCCACTTCTCCTTGACCTAAACAGCAAGATTACCATACATCTAAACAATTCGATTCAAGGGTACGAAAATCGATTTTAATTTACAAAGTCTGCATATAGGATAACTAACCATCTGAATCAACCGTTTTGAAGCAGTGCTGTTCACCACACGATGACGAAGAAGATGGAGAACAGCTCATCTATCAGCTGCAATCTTTAAAATTATACTTCAGTCATTTATATTTCCAGCAATTTTAAGTGTCCATCTTTTAACGATAACAAACAAGGAAGTTCAATTCGACGAGAAGCATATTATACACGTTAAAATTCATTTCCTTCTACAACTTCAGTACATAAATTTGCAATTTCAGTAGATACAAAAACAAAAACTTTTAGTACTACTCCTAAGTGCAACCTTTTTCAAATTCAAACACTCAAGAATTAACGGTGTAAAGTTAAAAATGTGATGAGTAAACAGAATGTTTCAAAAACTTCAACATCTACTTCCTCAGCTGATATATTACGTTCGTTTATATGCTCATTCAATAACCTATCCAAGACAAACAATCAGTGAAAAGTGATATTTGGTAATTTTTATAAGTAATTCAGCGGTTTGATGAGCACTTACACTCATACGTAAGTGGAGAACGATTCGAGGTGAAATACGTGTACAATGAAACAATCTTTAAAATCAATGAAAATAACAGCTCAAGACGAGAAACCAATAAAAACAGAATAAAAAAGTGATGGTAGCAACAGCTGGTCCTAATCGTGCATCTCGATCAGTTTAGCCTGCTGAAATCTCGACGGATGAACGTTCGGGCAATCTATAAATCACGCAATAGGACAGCATTTTAGCTTCGTTCCCAAGAATTAGACTCGATATTTCACCTAGGCTTGAGCTCGAGCCTAAAAGCCCTCTTTGTGGCTAAAATACATCGATGTGTGCAGCTACAATCGAACGAAGTTTACGGGTTACTAAAGTTCGTTTCTGTTCATGGGAGCATGCTGCCCATTTACAACGGATGATTCATTGCTGTACACCAGTTCTTAACATCCTTTAATGGCAATACTCAACGTGTAACTGAATGGTGGGCAAACAATTTAAACTTCAGCGGATATATTTGTACCAACAAATCATGAAGAAGTAGACATTTCGAAAAGTTTAAAGATGCACTAGAGGATAATAACTTCGGTGAGCAGCCGAAAAAACTAATCAACAGTGGTTTCTGAGCTCGACGGTTCGTCAATTTTATAGAATAAGATCGCAACACACTATAATAGTCCGCAAGCATATGCTACTATGTGCTAATCTGAAGTGTCGTTTAGAGTCACTCCTCACAATTGACTCTAGGATCTGTTCTTGAAAGGTCTTGGAACTGTTAGTGGATAATCCGTTCTCGGATTTTTCACTGAATGGAATCGCAAAAGAATCAGTCCTCAAGTTGAAAACGATCAAATCATTTCAATAAGTCCAATCAAAAACTGACAGCAATCACTTCAGATCGTTTCTTAGTGCTAATCGAGGTAACGATGTAGGGAATGTGAATCTGTCAGTTTCGCTTGAATATTATTTCTGAATTCTGCGATTAAGTACCCGTAATCGCACCGAGCAATGATCATTATTTGTCATAACAGTAATGTATCAAATCTCATGAATTGTCTCCATTTACATCATAATCACCCAAAATAAGTGGTCTATGAGAATCGCTGAAAAGGCTGAATAATTAATTTCACGAGATTAACCGTGGTTGTAACCTGAAATTAATACTATGATTTGGTGGTATGATAATTCTGATGTTACAGACTTCTCTGATGCAGTGATAGTTTATAGTCGGACATCGGTATGTGGAATATTTTTATTGCGCACATTTTTGTAGTTGTTGTTGTGTGCCGTTGAAGTCATCAACAAAGAATGTTCGAATAAATGCATATATGAATGAATCAAAATAATAATATTATTCTAAGATCGAACTGAAGGATAAAAAATAAAGTGAATCGAATAAATGACCGCAGATTGAGCAACTGATAAAAATGAGTCGTTTAATAGGGTCATTATCAATCAGATATAGTTTGTTCGTATGAATGAGGTCAAATGTTTAGATGGATATCAATTAAATTACAATTACTGAATGAATATTTGTAATATTCAGCATTGTCACAACCGTAATAAATCATATTCGTTCCATATTTTCCCACATATAATCACAAATTATAACTTTATTCATCATTCAATCAACGTTCTTTCATTGATTTTAAAAACTATCTTATTTCGAATTATTTTCATTTCAAACACAACGCTCCATAGCCTTCCATTCACGCTTACCAAATAATTCATATATGCATCGAAGCTCATTTCTTCAGAAAACTTTCGATTATGAACTAAATGTCAACACTATTCCGTAATACTTCCTGCATATGAATAAAAAATTCAGTTTTCTGAATTGCTATCGTTATTGTCGTCATTCTCACTGAACTGATATTATTGCTGTCATCATTCCAACTTAACTGTAATTATTTATATTGTTGTTATTTATATTACCACCTCTGCTTCACATCACTTCACAAGCAGCTGAACAGGGAAGATGAGCTGCGGGAATGCGATCATAACAATAATGATAGTATGTGCATTGCTGATCCTTGCATCAATAACAGTAATCTTAATACTGGTTACCGTACCAAAGAGTGGTGATGGAGATAGAATGATTACATCCACTGCCAATCCTTCTAAACATCAAGCGAATCACACTCATTCAACCAGGCCACGTCTGCTATTTTCTAACTATGAAATACATATCAGCAATGTTTCTACCGCTACTGATTCTCCCAATATGAATGCTACTGATACGAGTATCCTAATTAATTCACATGTCACATACACGACTACGTCTGCATTCCCACTACTTGCATTGAACAACAATCGTATTGTTTCAGCTGCGCATGATAGCAATGAGTCTGCAACTATGCAAGCTGCAAGGAAACAATCAAAATCTGAGCATGTCCCAATACGAAGCAATCAAACTCACTCTGTTGATGCTGCTTCCCTATCAATCAACAATATTCGAAATAAAAAATTCAAAATGAAAGACAAAAATAAGGCAAAACCAGGTTTCTTTCGTGGAACAACACCAAAAACAACAGCACCACTATCAACGAGAGGACAGAACTTAACGGCAGTTAAACTTCGAGCAAGCGATAACTTTATTGATGATGGCAAGATGAAGCTGAACGATCATTTATTTAATGGCAATAAAGATAATGGTATCATCGATGAAAAGGGCTCGGAGCTAGTGAAATTCAATCAGCTCGAACTGCTACGACAAATAAAGTTTTCGGAACAGTATAAAATTATTGGATTGAACTTACACCGAAAACGACTTTATGTGGGCACCAGTGATGGTCATGTGCGAATTATTGACCCAAAAAAATATGGAAAGGTGAACTTCCACATGAATCAATCCATTGTGAAATTTGATGTTCGCCTAATTGTTTCAAATTGTTTCCATTGAACTCAAACATATTGAACATGTTCTGAATGTGAGGATATGCGGAAGTGAAATTAATATTGCATCGTTTATTGGGAGTTAATGCTTAACTGCTGGAAATATTTTCTCTTATTCACATTCAGTTCGTAATCGCTTTCAAAGCTGTAATCCTGATGGAATGATACGATTTTCAGAGCCGATTTTTCAAAGCCGATTTTCAGACTGACGAAATAAATTTTGGAACGAACGTTGATCGCATGGCAGTGCTACAAAATGGTTTATTGGTTTCTCAGAATGCGCAACAAATTTCGGTGTTAAATTCGTCAAAACAATATTTTCACGCTAGTGTACCATTCAAAGGAAAAGCGATTGCCACTAACGATACCGATGTATGCTTTCTAATTTACCATTAGTATTGTGGTGATGATGGTTATTATTACTGCTCTCAAATTCATTATTCATTATCGCAGTTATTGCTCTAGCAGTTGATTGATTCAGAATTATTATCATTACACCTCTCAAGTGGGATATTTTAATCGTACTGATGAAACATTGCTTATTAATGTGAAATATAAAATCTAAAATGAAGATTTCTATAGCAACCGAGTTGATGGGATGGGGAAGGGGTGCTTTTTGAGAGTTATTCTTTTACCGTGAACATTTCCGACAGGATGTCGATGAAGTTGTTGGATTATTTGGTTGGAGGATCGCAGGATGAATGGAAATAATAAGCGTAGAGATAATTGTGCAAAGTATCAATTTCAGATTTATGTGCTATCGAAATCAAACGATGCGATATCGATATTTAATAGTGAACTTCAACTCATAAAAATAATCACATTTAAAAATTCCAATCACGACGTGTGCAATTTGATTTATTTGTTCAGACAATACATCTACATCAGCTGTCAGAATGCCATTTTGAAGATCAATTCAGTAAGGTGTTCACCTTTTCGATAATGATCCCTAATTTTCGCAATCAGCGGAAACATTACATCGCTAAACAAAACTACGTCTACCTAAGTGTGCTATGTAAATCTTCAGTGATGGGCATTCCAACGAAAAAAAGTGGCTATAACAATCGATGATCCGCCAAAAAAAACATTTTTGTTCTACTAAAAAAGCATCCGCTAATCGCGCCGCTGACGGAAAAGTAGCGGAAGTTTTTCACCAAAAGTGCCGCTAATTGACAAAAGTAACGGCAGTTCCACTAAAACGCTACTCAACAAAATTAGTCCGCTAATCGCTTCTTTCAAACCTTCCTGTAAAATTTTCAATCGCGCTGCTTACTTATCTGCGAAGAAACAGTCAAAAATTTCCCAAAAATTTTCCCAGAGTTCATTGGAGTGTCAAATTTTATTATTAAAATGGAACGTACTCGTCAAGAAGTTACGATAATATTAATAACCAAACGATGTCCAGATGAAGAGTCATCTCATCGAGCCCTCAACATGACAAAGATGAAACCGACTTCGATGAGGCTAGTAGTAATTCACGTTAAAGATACTGAGATTTATATACCACTTTATGTTTGTTTTCATGCGAAAGCAATTATGAGGAGGAAACTGAAATTGATAACAAATTATGGCAATTAGGACGCCAATAGTCAAAGTTGTTAAGAGTTAATAATGAGACAGTCAAATTTCTCGCCTACTTGAGAATTCATTATCCACTCACAACTCCTCACAGTTGATGAAGCTATCATCTTTACTGATCAGGCCATAAAAGCTGTAACTCCTTTATTTAAAATTTACATTCTAATAATGAGGCGACGGTGTTCGATTAAAATACCAGTGCAATCCAATGAAAACTTATCGTTAGCAAAAATGTTTGATCTCTTGTAAACATATTTTGAAGATCTTTGAAATCAGAAACTGAGACCTTGGGAAGAAATAACTGGATTACTTAATTCAGTTTAGCTATCAAATCTTTCCATTCTTCCGAGAAATAAATCACTACCTCTCTCTCTGGAGCGGTAGTGATTTATTTGGAGGTAAGCAAAATCCCTTAAGATCACAGTAGAGAACCTCTTCTATCGCTTGCATGAAGAAATCGTTATTTCACCGACAAGAATGAGGGTCATTGTAGCTCGGAAGTGGAGCTATTCGTGTAGTAGTAGATTTCAAATCCGTTTTCGCAGTGTGCAGAACACTAATACGACTGATGAAACATGGGAACTATGTTCTGAAAAAATACACTTAAATGTAGTTGTCCATACACTTCTGAGTGATTCAGTGGTTGTTGAACAGATCTCGAAGTTATAGAGGTAATAGCTATACAATACAATATGTTCATTATTGAGGTTTTGCGAGACTGGAATTTCGCCGATTTGAGATATGGCCAACAGACGCGAAGTGAAACATAAGTTAAGTTGTAGGTCAGCTTAACATCAACTGACTCACAAAGTTATGTATATAGCACAACGGTTAAGCATCTCGATGTTGGGAAAATAATTATATGAAGGTGGAGATGAGAAGTAAGGAGTAGCGGAAGTGAAAGAAAGAAAGTGGCCCGCTAAATCGCTAAAATGGCGCAAATTATCACTATTTTGCGCCGCCAAAAATTATTGAAGAGGAAGCTATCGCTATCCATTTCTGCTGCATGAAAAAAGTAGCGAACTGTCGCGTTACCGAAAGAATCAGCTTCATTAGCAGCAAAGTAGCGGATAGTGCGCTATTGCCCACCACTGAATATTGTTATATGAAAGACGTTTGAAAATATTAGTCAAATGATATTGAAAATAAGAAAATTGTTGCTTCAACTGATCTTGCCGTAGATATGGACTGCGAGTGATAAGTAGCACTAGCTATAAAAAATATATATCATAATTCAGAACGGTGAAGTGATCAATAAAATTGGAATTAACAAAGGACTTAGCTATTCACTTGGGATTACATTTGATGATCACTCAAGACTGATCGCTGCGATTCGAGGCCAACCTCTGCTGAAGATATTCGAGGTTTGTTTAATACTCTCACTAGTGCTGCTATCGTCACGAAAATTGTTGTTTTTAAACGAAAAGTCAGTTGCTCGGCTATTATCGATGTGATGCTCTGTGAACAACGTCACCATCGGTTATTCATGCAACAAAGCAAACAACCAACTTCACAGCCCAGTCCAATTAAGAAATCAAAGCTATTCATTAATTTAACAACGATTGTCTTTATTTCGTACGAATCAGCAACCAGTATTTGGAATCTGGTGTAATCTCATCATTTTCAGATGGAAAAATTGATACGCACAGCGCAATGGAACAATGAAAGATCAGCGATCTGGTCATATATATTATATGAAGATGAAAAGCTTCACGTTGTCGACCATCTGTCCAATACGCTTTTAGTATTTAAATATCCATTCGATCTCATCTGAATTCACTCTTGCTGTTTCCGTTTACTAACCGTGTTCAGTCTGATGAAAGATTTCCGAGTCTCGAATTACTCGCATCATTAAACAATATTTGACGGCTTATGCAGTTAGTGACAAACAAAATAAACATTCCAACTTTGAACGTTACTTCTTTGGTTAACGATGAAAACAAACCGACGTTGTTCCGAAGCGTTGTTGACGTACACTCGTATTTACCGTGCTTCTGCTCACCTCCCATCCTTCTTTACTTCTCGACATTCAAATTAGTTGTGTAATACAAATATACGCAGCTAGCATTTACATTACACCGACAACCAACCATTTGTGAGTGTAACTTCAATCAGCGCAAATTTCACTTCCTTTTGTTCACCGTTACAGTGCAATCCACTTAACTGCTTCCACAACTGAAGCATCAGATATCGCTATTATAATATCTTTGCGACTTACTATATTTTCGGGTTTATTGGGAATATCAAGGTGAGCCATTCAGTGGAAAAACAACAATAACAGTAATAGTAGTAATAAATTTTTAATCAATCAAAGCAATAATCAACGATAATATTAGAAGAAACGAAGATAAAAATTTGAAAACAAGAACAGTATGCTCGAAATAAATAAAAGTAAAAACAAATGAATATTACACTGAAAACAACAACTAAAATACGCGTTCATAGCGCAGAAAACATCAGCAGATTGAACACCAATGAAAATTCAATTCAACTGAAAGTCATACGGAACAGCTCTGGTACTGATGACGATGATGATAACAGTAACCATTATGATGAATCTGTAAAGACTGCCTATAATAAGAAGAATCACGTTGCTGCTAATAAAAATCAATGACAATAATAAAATTGACGTAACAACTGAACTGAAACACCATAAAACTGTACAGTGCACATAAACAATAAACAATACTAATTTGCTGAAGTTCAACGATTAGTGAACACAACAGTATGAACGACAACACAGCGAATTTAACAACATCGACGCTGGAATTATAGCAAATAATAATGACATACCGAACCAGTTGTTTACGAAACCGATTCGTTGAATGGCCGACAGACATAAAAGAATTACAGGAGTATGAAGTATAAATTATGTCACAAAAACGGATAATATTACATCCAAAACCATCGAATTTCATGACGAGATGTGCTCTGACACTATCGACTAATTCGGATAAGTACCAAAATTTAGTAGCACGATAAAGTGGGTATGTGTCGTAAGAGTTTTACATTCCTATTGAGACAGTGATCTGACAGTAAGATTGCTTCAAGACTGACAAGATAACAGCCGTGTGAGATAAAAAGTCAATACAGCGATCAATATGAATAAGACAGTTCTTTCATATGGATCATTCGAATTTCATGTAAACGATGTTAAACTGACATTGACCGAATTAACAAAGTAAACGAAATATCAATGAAATAAAACTGATGGTTTAATTTCATATCTTTGCAGGAATATCATCTAAATACGAAAATTATATCAATTGAAAGTATCGTTGAATCGAAGTCACATACTCAACGCATATTGTAAAAGACATTAAAAAATACTGAGATCGATACTGATGAATGCATGAATTTGCTGATCGAACAAATAGTACATATGAAGTATAGTTTTCAATTGGGGACTGTCATAACGACTGCTTGATGGCTTCTCTGAAATATATCCTCGAAAATATCATTACCCCCGAATTTGCCACCAAAGTTACATTCCTTCACTGAAATATTTTTGTCCTGCATTCCCTTGCTTCCGAATACTGCTCATACATAGTGCCGAGAAATAAAAATAGTGAACACAATTCATAACAACTAATAGAATTAAAAACAATCACAATAATGTGATATCAATTAGCAAAAACAAGTTAATAAAATGACCAAATATCATAATCGAATATTCAAACAGGAGAAGATTACGAATTATTAGTTTCATATAACTACGATAAAATATTTATGGATTCATGAAATTAACAACGGTCAAGAAGGAGAACAAGGAAACATGCAAATTATCCGTGAACGTAAGCTGGCTCGAAGGAACTGATCAAGCAGTAGAAAGTGAGTTCTCAATTCGAATAAAGAGAATCACAACATATTCGACACTCGTCGAGCAATTCCTCAACTTACTAATATGATCAGTATTCGCACTTTCCCTTACTACTATCCTACCCATAAACATGAACTCAACAAGACCATATCTTTACCACGAAGATATCCCACCGAATAAACAACAAGAAGAATTTGCTGTTCCACTGAAACTTCAATAATCATTCAGTTTTAACTAATCCATTCACTGGTTTAGGATAGCGAACTCAACGAAACGTTACTGTTGCTTTTAATTACCTTGGAATCAACTGAATTAGATAAAATTACAAGAATTCTATCCGAAGAGTGCAAAATAAGGCATACTAAAGAGGTGGGTAAATGGATGAACGAGCGATGGATGGGTGAACGAAGCACGAAGCATGGTACCACAGACGAAAGTTCCAAAAATTCAATTGTCGCTAACCAAACGGCAGGAAATGAACTTGATGAAAGAAACGACTGCCATAACAACAAAAACTACAATGCATCACCAATGAGTAGCACATATTCCCGATTGTAAAAACACCGTATTCAATTACATTTATGTGATTTATGAAACATTAAATTAATCAAAATGTATTAGAATAATTATCAGTCATAAAATCATCATGAACCATCAATACTCAATATATAAATTACTACTATACGCGCCGTTACTGTTTTCTTTAATACATACTACAATTGTTTATTTATACAGTCTATTTATAGGGTCTACTGTTGTGTTCCGAATGGGTTTTGAATGAAAACAATGAAAAATTATTCTTAAATAAAATAACATTTGGATGATTTGAAATTACAATCGAATTCAAAACAAAAAGCTGAACCCGTTGTTGTTGCTACATACACACAATGGTCGTAAACCAAGTCGCATCACGAAAGAGATAACAACAATTGAACAAAACAAATCAATCAATCAACCAACCGACCAAAAATTAATTCACCCATCTACGAGAAATACATACGTCTGTAGTCATTCGCACCAAATGCAGCGTTGCACTTTGGACACTTGCGACGTCGTGTCTCATAACGCGTCTTTAAACATTCCATGCAGAAGACGTGGAAGCATTTCGTTAGGATTGCATCTTTACGTCGCACTTTGCACGACGGACACGTTAATATATCCTTTAATTGAGGTGATTGAGTCAATAGTAAGCTAAGATTGATGATGATGATGAAAGGAGTGCATTTTGATTTCTTGTGAAGAGGCTTGCATATTCAACAAGACACATAAATGAAGGGAACGCCAAATTCTTGAGAAAACTTTTGTTCTTTACCGAAATTGAAAAGATTTTTCTCTTCCGTCACCTCAGTAAATGCTCTGCCTCCAAGCATACAACCACATGATTTTACCACTCAACAAACGTGACTTCACGTTACTGTCATATCATTTTGCTTCTAATTCTAAACGCCAAATAATGTTTCAATAAAGAGAGCCGGTGGAAGCTTCAAAGAATTTTGCAGTGTTTGACTGAAAATTTTAGACCATAACAGAGCCTGACATGCTTCGACCTTGGAAATCCTTTGAACAACTTATGAAATTATTCACTCCGTGTGAAATTTCTTACAAGAAATTTCATTAGCTAAATCATCAGTTACGATCAACATGAATATTCATATTCGAACCTTTAGTTCCCGTATTTCCTCATTCAACACTTCATCCATGTTGTCCATCTTCTCCATTTTCTTGGCTCGTTCAAGTTTCTTCTTGAGAATATTTTTATCCTCTTCAAGTCGACGTATTTTGAATGTGTCAACTTCTTGCTGCGATGTTTTGGATATCATTGCCTAGAAGTGATTCTTCCATTACCAACAGTTCTTAATCGTTAAAAGTGGTATTAAATTTATCATTATTTAGCAAATGCAACAAAATAGCCTGGTGAAATGAATCACAATGTCAAATATAAGGAAAGAACTGAGGAAGGAATTTATGCGGATAAAAACGCTGAAATTCGACTAAAAGTACCTGCAGAGAGATAAAAAAGTGCTAATTTGAAGTATGAATGACGAGATCTACTGGAAAAGAGCTTAAGATAGAACTGAAACAAAACATGAAGAAAAGTACCAAACAACCGACAAGATAATAAGTTCGTGACATACATCAAGAAAAGCTAAGAAACCCAATTAATATACCCCAACTATGATCGACATGCATGTCTCAAAAAATTAATTGCTTGCCATTCTGTTATTCTTTTCGCCCAATTTTTCCTCACCCTTGACGCTGTTATCCTTACCCACTCAAACCTTCGTTTATTAGCGACATTCTTAATGTTTTTGACATCCCTCAACCAATCATTAGTTCAAAGATTCAATATATTAACCCTAGTCATCACTCTTTCCATCCTTCTCAGTCATATTCTGATTGCAGTCACATCCTTATTCTTTGTTGCTGCAGCTTGGGTTTTACATGCACAGCATCAATGACAGGACACATTGTTTGAATAAATGTCAATATTGCTCTTTGCGAAAACAATGTCTACACTTAAAAAACGCCTTCCACCCCGATATCCTTTTACATTCTCAAAAAATAAACCTGTTGGGCATCATTCAGCTGACTGCTACACTTATCGAATTGCGCTTTCAGATCTGCAGAGCTCTGTGAGCATTCAATCGCTTTCCTCTTGTGCATCTCCATCGCTTGTTCAACCATTCTGAATTATCGCCATCACAATATAAACAATGCAAAGGACAGTGCATCAACTAAGATGAACGCTAGATGCTTACACTTGATTGTGCAACATAAAATACTTCTGATAACGATAACTGCTGATGACGATAAGCTATTGTTTTAATGGACAGTTTTAAGAAATGATAAACGATAATCCTTTGGAACAGAAAAAGTAATGACCATCAGCGAAACTAAACCTTAGTTGATGTTCAAGATTGACATTCTTCTGAGTAAGAACTTTATCCTTCTCTTCAAGTTTCGAGATCATCAACTGTTGTGCCTCGATCTGATTCTGAAGACTACTCAAACGTTCTTCGGTTCTTTCCCTCTCTTCGTTCATCTTCTTCTGACACTGATTCGCACGAATCCGCTCAGCCATCAGCTTCAGGTTTGCATCATCCTTCAATCACGAGTTATCATCCAACAATATAAGCACTGACTACAACCATTCTGTCAACATGTCATCTAATCAATACTTATCGATAAAATAAAAAAGCCGCGATAATTATCAGTATCGTCATGGGTGGCCAACGGTTCTGCTCATGAACGATTCACCAACTTCCGGAGGTATATATGAAATGGCAAATTTCGTACGCATCAATGAAAAATGAACGATATGGGTGTGTAGGATTGCTAGGTTGGTTATCTACTCAAATTTCAACATTCACATGCAGATTTGGCACTAGCGCACACGCATAAGTTCGGTGATGTATGTGAAATTCCACAAACGTGAATGAATGGTCGGATTGCATGGTGACTAATACGTCTTCTATGAAGTAACGAACTGATATTTATATGAATGATGTAATGATTGTGCATCTTAAAACACAACCTTTTCCTTGAGCTGTTGTAAAAGCCTTGTATTTTGCTCCTGCATATCCTCAAATGCCTCTCCGGTTGTGTCCATTTCTCTTGTAAGACCTTCTTCCTGCTGCTTCGCAGATTGTGCTTCTTTTCTCAAACGTTCGTTCAACTCTTCCAAACTTCTTTAAATAACAAACGAATTCATCTTTCCATTCAAATCAATATGTAAACCAATAAATTAAACAAGTATATTTCAAAGCAGTGACACAAAAGAATGATCACTAAATTCGACTGAGACTGTACCAAAATGTTTCGTAGCTCACATAACATACAAAATGTTTTCGTAGTAATATGAGAATATGTAATCTGGCTACTAGACACATATAACAGAGGACGTATAATAACATAGGCTGCGATGAATTACCACAAGATTTCTTCTAAGACACCTATTTTTTGGTACACATTGCCTTCCAGTCGTATTCTCATTTCACTTACCTTCTCCGCTGATTATATGTAAGTTTAAATCAAACAGAACGTCAAGCGTCTTAGAGGGAATTACGAAAACTATTTTTGAAAGCACTCGATAACCATCAGATGGAATCTAGAACCGAGACCAACAAATTTTTTCCCACCTTATTTTTCGTTGAGCATCATCGGCGTAATATCGCATCTTTTCTCGTCTATCTGCACCAACCAATTTACGTAGATGCGATTGCATCTTCTCATTTTCCTGCTTCAACCTCCTCTCACGAGCCAAGATCTGAGAGTGGAACATTCGAAACGTTAATGAAAGACAGATTTCCATCTATTGAAGAAATTAACACAAAATAACGCTAACTGCTTTGAATGAATAAAATGCTATGTACAATGGATATCGGAGTTTAAACAAAACAATAATAAAATGAAACTGAACCTCGAAACGATCCCTCTGTTCAGTGCTAAGTGAATTGAGCGCATCAAGTTTTGTTTGCAAATCAAGGACGGTTTTCTTTAGTTTTCTGCAACAATTAATTCTATTGAGACTGCACCAAATTTACTTCTCTTGCTACTGTACTATCGAATGAAGTAAATTTGTGAATGACTCTTTCGACAAGTCAGTTCCACGTAAAAATGAAATGCTGCGATAGTGGTCATACAATTTTACTGTTTCCGTCAATTTTCTGTAAATATTTGCACCTAACCGACAAAGAGTATAGTGATGAAGGGTAATAATAGCTGACTGTATAGTTTTATGCGAAGGTGTGTTGCCTTCATGTTCATTGTCTAACAACTCTCCGTGTTCCAGCAGCACACAGCCATCAACTAATGAAGCACAGCCATCAGTGGTCGTCGATGAATTTTTGTCCTGATCGGGTGATGCCAGCGAATCGCTTTCTTCTTCGATTTCGATCATCAGACAGCGCTCACGATAACGTTTCTCACCTTCCAATTCCTTATTGCACTATAATATCAACTCATTCACCTTCTTTTTACTACATTCTTGCTATTATTTATTACTATCACTATTGTTAGCATTATAACTATTACTTTAACCATTATTATCATTAGCAATAGTAATAGTAATAATAATAGTAGTAGCAGCAATAATTATAGTCTATTATTATCATTCTTATCCAGTTTATAATTAGTAAAGTGATGCCAATTTTTGCTTAAGAATGATTACCACGCTCAAAAATATTTAACTAAATTCAAGCCAAATCGTGGCTCATGCTCGACTCGACATCACTGCATTCAAGGTCAGCAGTATGTTTTATTAAACACTGGAACACTGTACACAATCATAAGTTGGCGATTCACAAGCAGTGAACAAAATAAATTTGCAGAAAATTTTCCTGTTGAAAATTGAAATTCCGAACAAATAAAAAACATAAGGAATAAACTAAATAAACGAATAACCTTGGCAAGCAAAGAAACAGCCTCCTTCCATTTTCTTTTAAATCGGCTCGACTCTTGCTTGAGTTGCTCATTTTGAGTCTTAAAACTTGTTAATAACATCCGTATTTCCTTATTTACAGGACCTGAAAAGAATTCGAAACAATTCTATGTAAACATTAAAAAATATCAAATTCCCATCATGAGGCTATTTGATAAAAATTATGAATCCATGAAGTGAACACGTCGCTGATATCAAGAGAGCAATGCAATGGTAAAAAGCAAAGAATCAAATAAAACATGCTGGCAGATGAAAAACGATCAAAAAATCAAGAAAGAAATTCGAACAGCTCAGTGTTGAAGTAATTTCCGATTTTCGCAAACAGTGAAACGGCTCAAATGAGTGACAGAGTAGAGAAAATGAATCGTGAAATTTCTGGCATGGCTAGAGCTGATCATAATTCTAAAACTAAAAATGTGATAAATTTACCAGATTGTTCGTTCGCCGAAAGATTTTGTTCGAACTCCAATCTCAACATTTCATATTCCTTACGGACTTGACTCAGCTGTTCCTCCAGTTCACTTACTGTATCTCGCATACGTTCTTGGGCTAGACATTCCTCACTCTGAAATTCATTTATTTATTTATTTATTCAATCGGTATTTGTAAGTCACATGTCTTTCTGCCATCACCGATACTACATTCCCCCTTCATCGATATCCTTCTTCGCCAACAACTGAGAAATCAATGAATGGATCATCCATCTCTATAATTTTATCTCATCCATCTCTCTCTATGAATTTAGTTATCACACAGGTGTGAGGCGTTCTCTAGCATGCTGTCCAATCAATTCTAGTGACAGAATCAGTTCATCACGAGTGCAATGCATATCGCACAAATATAGCAGGTATTTCGAGAACACAGTGATAAACATCCATACGTTGACTATGGTCAATAATTCGAAGAAGAAACACCGAGCTCAAAAGTATATTCAGCTGTAAAACAAAACTTTAGGTTTGACTGAAGATTCAATGAATGTGACAGATAAACGATGATGACAACAAATGAAAAACTTCATTGGTGGATGGAATGTCACTATTTTTCAAATGAAAAATAAATTTGTTTTTTCAGGTATCACAATGTTTCTTCAAATAGGATGATAGTGGCTAGAATTGTAAAGTGAACAGAAAACAATGCAACTGTTGCTAAGGTGAAGCTGAAACAGATCAACGTATCAGAGCAATCACGAACAAGAGTCCTAACCTCCATGAATTCGATTTGTTTTGCGTGAGCGCTGCGCAGTGAAGCCATTTGAGTTCGAGCCACTTCAAGTTGTTGTCTGAAAATGCTAAATATTGTTTGGAACTGGACAGGCTCACTGGACGTTGATCCAGGCTGTTAAAAGCGTTCAGACATCATGATTTCAATATATCACAAAAAAGTCGCCGTCAATACATCTCTTGTTAATAACGTAATTTTTTCACACAGAGAAAAGTTCTGATCATAACTGATTATGATAACGATCAACTGTTATTTGAAACTGGATAACAATCTACTGTTATTCGAAATTGATAAAATATGTGTATAAATGAACAACCTCATCTGAGCCGTTTCCATAAAAAGTGCAGAATATTGAGACTGTAAAGCTATGTATTCGGTTGACTTCTTTATCACATCACTTGGTGTATGCTTCAACTAAATTCATCTCATTTACTAAATTACATATTTCTTCAAAACGCGATAATGAATTTATCGTCAGAACTGTTTCAAAACAAAACCAATGACTGAAGTAATCGATAAAATTGAAATCAAGAAAATGTAACGGAGCATTGGCAATAAAAGTGTGATGTTACAACTGAAATACTGCATCAGTGAACTCTAATGCATACATTCAATTTCAGCGTCTCAACTTGTCGCATTAAGTTTTTGTTTTTCTCCAACATTTCTTGAAGTTCTTGAAGACGCGATGTGGCCAGCTCAGACTGCATATCAACATTCAGCTCTAATTCTTCCAACTAAAACGGAGTTCACTTTAAGAGCAATTCACAGTGATATCATTCAAACGGCAAAAAGTTACTAACCAATATTATAAAACGAAAACTATGTAAGATTAAGATAAACAAAATCATATGGGCATAACGAATAACTTGAATATTTCCGATTAGAATGTTTTCATAACATATCGAAATAAGATGAAGATGAATTTATGTTAACATGACCATCAAATGGAAAATCATAACTACAAATTATAATATTGTACTAAAACGAATACAAATAAATGAACATTAATGCCTAAAATGTGAACAAATCGTGCACTTCGCATTCCTAGTGAAAATGGAGTCGAAAACAAAATGACAGATCCCTAAAATGACAGAGGAGAGGAAAATTTTCGTTCAATTTACATACTGGTGCAGAAGAAGTGAAAGAATGCCCATACAAAACTGTCATACCTTTGATTTGTTAATGTTTGTCGTATTATTTGTCGTAGATCCAACTCCATTCGTGTTTATAGTCGTTTTGATTTCATTCATTTCTAATTGCTGCGCCTTTCTGACATACTAAAATTAATATAATTATGATTCAGTGCTCTCCTTCTCGTAACACATTTCCTGATCAAAAAAATATGACTGTCGATTAAGTTATCTGCCTTCATTTCGGAACATGGCCTTCAGTTAAGGATATCAAAAGAGTTTCATATTAGTGAATATCAAACTATTCATCCATAGATAATTGAACATCAGTTTTAATAAACTCTAAAATTAATTACATGGACGTAAGAATCAATTAGAGAACAAAGTGACGTATTTCAGGAGTCGTCAGTCATCATACTACCATCGAAAATGAACAAAATGTAATCCATCATCCACAACCAACAACAATTAATTTTCAACTCTATTTCAAGCTTCCGATTGATCATGGCTTATCGACGCATATCACTACCCTTATTGCTAAACATCGCACGCGTAAAAAAAGTAGCTGAATGATTTCTCTAACAAATCAACTATAGAATATTACCGAACATCAGTTCACTGATGTACGGACTTAATATATCAACATCAAAATTTCGAACAGCAATATCGCCTACACCAAATCAGCAATAATTTTAAGAAGATTTCACCGCTGAAGGGTTTCACCACAGATAGTGATGAATGAATGATAAAAACGACAAATAAAGCACTAACGTCAGCAAGTCGAAAATCGAGTTTACATTCTCTACGCATTGATTTTTCAAGCTGATACTTCACTTCATCTAACGAATTACTCATTTCTTGATGTCGTGTTTCCATTGATGATAATTCGTCTTCTTGAGCAGATGCCTTCAAGAAATCAGTAATAACTGCCGAGTGAAGATGATTGCATTGTATCACTGTGATAACTGTTTGTTGTGAGAATGACGCTGACTATAGGCAATTATCAAATATTACAGCTGAATTGAATTGGACGGGAATGAAACGATAATATTCACGACAATAACCATTAAAATAAAATCACCTTTAAAGAAAGAATATGGTTTTCAGACTGCAGTTTAGTGATTATCTTTTGTAGTTTAACATTTTCACCGCTCAATTCTTCATTCATTCTTGCTACTTCACCGTTTATTGACGGTTTTGAGTGATTATTGACGGTTGCATCCTCTTCCGATGTTGATGCACCTTAATTTATTTCATTTAATACCTGCATCCTCCGAATTACCACTAATAATACATATGCGCGTTTGTTTTCCTATTAGGAGATCGCCTAAATTAATTTAATGCTAGAAGAAATTCAACTGAACTTATAATGAGCATAAACAATCTCAATATTTCAAAGCAAAAAATGAATAAATGTAGAAATATGAACAAACCATCATTAGTTTGATCAGAAGTGGGACACGACGCGATAAGAGTTGCAATTTTTTCGTTTCTTTGCGTTATATGATCAAACACTTGTACCATTTTGGCTATTGCCCTTCGACTGAAATAACGCAATGCGTCACAAAAGAAAAACTTTTATTAAATGCTTGGAACTGAATTCGTACGTAACAGTTTCAACCAGATTCACACCGGAAACTTAGCATACATATATTCAAACACCACTTGTTGGGTATGATTACCATAATGCAAACCATAACAAGCTGACTCCATTTGCACACCACTTCCCCCACTTAAACAACCTCAATTTTTTAATAGGTTAACTTTTCCATACATCAAGCAATTTCTCCGTGCAACTCTAAGCACAATTACTATTTCATGATACTATTAACCTTCCAAAGCAAGAAAAGTTGCATTTATCCATCCCAAACGCAATGTATATTGATGCCAACACTGCTGTTTATTAAATCTACTGCTAACCAGAAATATACAAATGCACTGCTACAATAATCAAGACAAACTCCTCTGCAAAAATAAATACAAAAAACAAACCTGAACTCAACGCGCTGCTTCAATTTATCTTCTATTTCATCGTTCTCCCAGTGAGAAAGCTTTGCCAAAAAATTTTTCGTTCCTTCATACTCCACTAAAATTTCGAATATTATCATCACCAATTCATAAACAACAAAACAGTTCAGCTGATACCAAAAAAACACTACGAAGATTGAATTCGATAGAAGATAGGATTCAGTCTTTTAAAGTTTAACAAATGTTTTTTATCAATAAGATGAACTCTATTTATACATGACTCTAGTTCATCAATATCAAAGTTTTATGTGTTTTATCATAAAAATGGCATGTTCATTCAATATGAACCATCAGCTGAAACGAAACGAACCTTCCCAAAGCTTACAGTTCAATATCTTGAACTTTTTCACTGTGTTCCAAACAATATTAACAATAATCTGATTTTGTCTCATTTTGGAAGAAATAGAGATAGAACACTGATGCACACTCTTCGTGCAAATTTATGAGTTCATTACAATTTTCAGCTTTCTTACACAACTTTTATTTACAGGTGGATTAGGAAAACCTTTTGATTTAAACGACAGTTATCGGTGTATTATTTGTGCAAAAATGTTCGTGACGTGTCGTCACGAACATTTTTGCTGGTATCATTAACATTTTACAGGGAAATTCAATTATCCTCCAATAAAATCCTTACTTTCAATTTCACCTTCAAGCGCTGTCTCAGCATCAAACCGTTCGAGGAGAATTCTAACGTCTTCATCAAACTGTAAAAACAACTAATGTAAAAAATGAAACCACAACGGTATTCTCCTCAATGTAAGTATAGACCCTGTACTTGAATACCGAGGAACGTATTGTGCAATCTTGCCAGTTATTCTTAACCTTGCCAATATTATCTTATATCAGTTGATCAAATATAGCATGTTCAATTATAACAGTAACTTCTGAAAGCTTATTTTGGCCTCATTCAACTATTACTTTATCGTCATCATTGAAATAGCTCTCCATTGAACCTTCTTGCAGAACGATTGGAACTTTTAAGAATATTATCACTGATATCATTTTTACATGAATATCAATGAGAATGTAACGAAGTAAATGAAAAAGTGACCCGATTCCAGAAACGATTGATGATACAGAGCATAGCATCATCTTGCGCTTGCCTACTCTCTAACTGCTCAACTCTTTTTTGAAGCTGATCTCGCTGTCGTTCCTTATGTTTGAATCGTTCACTTAATTTATAATTTTGTACGGCAAGCACTTTCGCATCAATCTCGGACTGAAACAATTGGAAATGTTGTTAAAACCGACAACAGTAATCTTATTACAAGTGTCATACCTTTCCCAACATTATTTTCATGTTCCTCCTCTCGGAAAATATTCATCTGTGTACAGCTTTTGAATAGTGCATTCGCATAAATATTCTGCATCTACTGTTTCTACAGAGAACGAAGATAAACACTTATAAATGAAGAGTTCGAAGAAGCTTATCAAAACAATACCGTAGCGTTGATGGAGCATATCCTAACAGGTTCAAACTCAACCAGACGTCTCTTTCTGATTGGTTCATCCGTTGAGGCTCCTTGAGAATCTTCATCGGTGATTGGTGAAGACCGTTTCGACATTTCTCATTTATACTTCGACGGCTTGAATTTTCATCATTTTTATTAGTCGCATGAATCAATATGCATGCAACAATTTGTCAACTTATTACTCAAACGCAAATATGATCACATTCATTCGATCCAAGACGTCATCATATTTCTCTGAGAAGACCATCTTCTTCAAACTGTCACTTCCCACATTTTTATATCATTTCCTCAAGATGATTTTAAGCCGATAAACACATCGATCGCGTGCTCTCATTTTGCCATTTGTGTTCTTTCTGAGACTTTGCTTATTACACAGCCGTTCAACTAAATGTGATGAACTGGGTATTTGTTGCTGTAAATTATGTCCTTCTATCGCACCGCATCGAAATATTTCCCGTTGTCGAAAGTGCAAATGTATCCGCAAAATCCTATCGCAGCACTGCTCTTTATTTTCACGTCTGCTCATGTTATTCAAATCTGAATTAAAGTAACTATCATTTCATATACTCAAATTTGAGCGTGACCTTATTCGCACGTTGTAGTTCATTTCATCTGATTACCACTTCCCACTTATTCCCTTCATTCGAATGACTCATCTGAATGTGGTATCATAGAATTTCCAAACCTTCCCTTTTGACGGAAAATGATTCTATGCTATTTCTTGGGAAATTATGCGTTGTGGCCGGATTCATCGATGATTTTTACCAAGTGATTGAATAATATTAGTATTTATATAGAAGAATCTGGTCTAGACATGTAAAAGTACCGATTGTGATCTAAAATTCAAAGTGTACCTACAACACATCACAACACAAGCCTCGCTTCCTTGATACGAACAGTTAACTGGACAATATAGTTCATGTTTTAACTCCACTGCTGTGATATAAATCTGTGATTTTTATGTAAGGTGGGTGCATACTATGCACCTCACACTTCAATCTGATTATAATCTTGTTCATGAGTTGGATCCGATAAGGAATCGTTTCTATTCCACGCACAATGCAATGTAATCGTGGAACTGATTAAATAACTGCAACCGGCTAAGGTACTTCTAAATTCAAATTTTCAACAGCTGTTTTTTAGTATTATGCCCCTTTGTCTGGGAGGGTCTCAAGTCTTGGAAGCAATTTTCATTTCATCCTGTGGAAAAATCTGCACAGAGAAACAAAAAATCATTTTCGAAACACGGTTCTGAAGGTAGGAACTTAATTATTTGAAGTGACTATGACGAAACCACTGAATTTAGATGAGTTAAGGTAGTGAATTTTTTGTATTTTGAATAGGTAGATTGAATTGTTGCTACAATCTACAAAGTATCGAGAACTGAAAAGTTTCGCGAATCTCAAACAAGCCTTAAAATGGATATGTGCGTGATAGACTTGGTTCACTTCAGTAACTGGGTAGTGTGGGTTTTTTTTACGTGAATAGGAACTGAAACGGACTGTAAGTGAAGAACGAATAAGCAGATTAGAACTGGGATAGACTAGTGATAATTTTCAATCTGAAAATTATTTGAAGGACGACTCCATCACACATCCCTCTCCTCTGAAAGGCTAAAACGGTTTTAAACGAACTAAATATTCATATTAACGTTATACTATCATCTATCGCATTTTTATGCAATCAGTTCTTGAAATCACTGATAGACTTAATTTCTATCAACACAACGAACCAAATCTGACAGCTATGGATATCAAGTGAAAGTATCCTGATTGTGGAGGTGCTCACTTGTAACAGTTAAGCTTACAAATCCAGACTGCTACTTTATTACGAGTCATTGCTTAATAACTAACAGGTATAATCCATATCAGTCGATAACAGACATATCAAAAAATAAAAAGTGAAAATTAAAACAAACCGAAGCGCGCAACGCCGTCGGCTCAACAGTCGGGTCGATAAGTTTTAAAAGTGCAACAAGTCCCAACAGCACTTTAATTCTCGCCAACGGTCAATCTCGTGAGCTCTCACTCGAATCTTCTTCAACAACAAATCCAACTTCTATAAACCCTGAAGCAGTCGGCTGAATAAATAACTTAATAATTTGGAGGATAATTGATACATGATTTTTAAATATGTGATAAACTTGGTTCACTTCAGTAACTGGGTAGTGTGGGTTTTTTTTACGTGAAGAGGAACTGAAACGGATTGTAAGTGAAGAACGAATGAGCAGATTAGAACTGGGATAGACTAGTGATAATTTCGTGTTTTTTCTCGTGAACCACGACGTACGTTCGCAACGGTAGCCTCGCTTTTGCGAAAGTCGTCATTTATTTCTCACATATCCCATCCCGTAAATCAAGTCTCATGAACTCGTTGAAAGCAGACAGCTTATCTTTGAGAAATTTCATTCCATTTTTCACTTATACCATCACCTATAACAGATTTCTTTCGCATTCATATACGAATCACTTATTGCTGAGCTCTTCAGAGAGATGCAGACATTGGCAACAATTCGTTTCGAAAGTTGACAGTGTTCAGGAAGAAACTTCGCAACCATCATTACAGCGTTATATTGCGATGACCCGCTGTGAAAGTGATGCGAATGTAGGGGTGGGCTGCGAACTTTTGCAGAGGAAGATATAGATGGGGTAGATGGTAATGATAGAAGGACTGGGGAGCTGTATCAGTTCGAAAATCCATCAGATCATACTGTCTAGTTCCTATCCTTGAACTGTACTGTATCTATAAATCAACGAGAAAATATAGCAAAAACACCGTCCGTCATTATTTTGACAATCTTCAATTTGCGTTGATCTCAAAACAGCCAAATAGAAATTGTCAAATATCGCCGGACATTGTAGAGGAACGTTCAACAAATATTGTGAAAGTTTTGCTTCAGGAAAGTAGAGTGGAGAGAAGCGGAGAATGAGAAGCAGAAAGGATGCTAGGAACTGAAATAAAGTAGAGAATGTGTGAGGTGATCAGTGCTTCGACTCCAACTTCATTAATCCCTGGTCATCGGACCAATTTCTTAAGAATAAGAATCCTCTGAGAATGTGTCGCGGCTAGTGCGAAAAGCGAGCATAACTAAATAAATTGAATGAAATATAAGTTGATGAAAAATGATGATGTGAGTTAAGGAAAGTGCGTGAACAAGAATGAAATAATCTTGCAAAAGGCCGATGTTGTAGCGGTGTAACGCTAGGCTTTGAGGATCCGATCAGTTGAGAGGGCGCGAGTTCGATTCCGTAACGGTCCAAAATATTTGTTGAATTTCGATAACATTATTAAAAGAAATAAGGAAAAAATGAAATGAAGGAGAAAAATGAGCAGTTTCGACAGAATGAGGTCTCGTTTTTATAAGAGTTAAAGGGAGACGTATATCCATCCAGCTGATAGTTCATGAGTGCTTTTAGAAAATATGTTGTCGCACTTAGATTTTAAATTTTTGAGATAATCTCAAATATGGAACTTCCCGTAGAATCAATAGGACCATATTCGTAATAATCGACCAAAATTAATGGATCACATTCAGGTGGTTTTTACCTTCAGACCTGGTCATATCTCGTTTATGAAAAGCATTAGAAAAAACACTTCGATTCCTTGAGATATAATCTTACACAAATTCATAATTTGATCGAACTGATGTTTCTTAATGGCTTGTCTTAAATGCATAGTATATGTTCAGGTGGGCTGTATCCTTAGACCTCATCAGCGTCATGATAACCAATATTATCGGTCATTGCGAAGTACACGTTTATTTTAAGGAAAGTGTGTATTTTATAGCAAGGAAAGTTCAATTAGTTGCGATGATCGATCACAATTAATTGAGATTTGATATTCATTAAATATTCACCATTCAGTAAAAAGACCGGCGCCCTCAGAACTTGACAGCATCATGATAATTCTTGATAACCATCTTGTAGACAACGTTCTGCAATTGCATAAAAACATATTGAAATATTTTTCACTGCAAATTTCAACCGCCTGAGAAACAGCTCTAAAAACATTCAAAAACAATGGTCGCAGGACTGTCGTCTATTTAATATTTGGTTTCGATGCCGGCAGTCAGCAGATTGAGGTTTTTTCGTGTTTTATTAGACTTCTCTGTTGTTCCAACTTAGTGCATTGCAAACGAAGAGAAATGTTCGTTAATCA